CAACAGTCACTATATCTGATTGTCCATTTCAAGCCTTAGAGCTATTGACAGCAAATATAGGAAATTTTGACATAGTGCTCATTGATGTTAATTTAACATGCATCATGGATTTCAACTACTAGAGAATGTGAGCCGAGAAATAAGCTTGCCTATAATTGGTATCTTAAAATTTTCTACAAAAATATTAAATTATTTTCCTTATCAATTACTTTTTTTTTAACAAGGTTAAATTTACATGTAGTGCTCTCAGCTGATTGGGATTTTCAAAATGTCAAGAAAAGGTATAAAATATGGCGCAGTTGACTATCTTGTCAAACCTGTGTGTCTTAAAGAATTGAAACTTATTTGGAAGCATGTGATAAAAAATTTTCTTAATGAAAAGAAGAGCATTAATGAATTAAGTTCAATGGATGTTAATATTTTATATCTCACAAAAAATCCAAAGATCTTGCGAGGAAAAGAGATAAAGATAATGATAATGTTTTAAAAGGTAATTTGGCTTCACAAAAAAGAATTAGAGTTTTTGGACCTCAGAGCTCCATGCAAAATTTATCAATGTTGTTAATCAGTTAGGTATAGACAGTAAGTGTTTTTACTTAATAAGTTTTTTTTTTCTAGTTTCCACTTTTTATTCTCTTGATCTTAAAATAAGAATACTTTTTAGAGACAGTTCCAATAAAAATACTTGATATCATGGACATATTAGGACTAGTTAGAGAAAATGTCACGAGCCATTTCCATTTGGCTCATTAAACTAGCCTTAATATTTATGAATTAAATATTTTTTTTTCATTGTTGAATGATTTATATTTCAAATTATTTGATTATCATTAATGAACTTTTTTGCAAAATTATTTACTCATTCATACTCTGATAAAAATAAATAAAATTATTTTCTTTTGTGCTATACAGAAGTACAAAAAAGGCTTGAAAAGAAATACAATTGAGCTTAATCTTCAAATTTTTGATAATGCTAAAACAAGAAGATATAGTGAAAGTTTTGTTGCAATGAATAATAAAGAATGCAATGATAATTTGTATAGAAATAAGTCAATGCACTCTTCATACCCTGTGGGTCAACAATCTTATGATAGACATGCTCTAATTCCTCAAACTTGATTCTCTCCTCATATGAGATATCAAAATAATTTTTGCCAACAATCTATGATAGATTCGCTTGAAAATCACAACAATTAGATTGGACAACAGAATCATATGTGATGAACATGTCAACACAGTTTTTAGGCTATCAATCTATTAATCAAAACTTAAATCAACTTGATTCTAAAGCACAAAGTTATGAGAATTCATAGACAAGTAATGAACATAATGAGTTTAACCCAATTCCCCAACTTGAAAGTACTATTGAACACGATGGCACGGATATATCTTTAAACAATGATCTTAATGATAACAATAATTTTGATGAGCTTGCAACTTTATTAGCATGTAAGTATTTGAAGATTTGAAATTTACTTCTCATTATTAATTTTTTTTTGTGTGTTTAGTTTGTGATATTGTGATAATCAATTGTTTATGACATTGAATTCATGCCGTTGAACAAAAACAATAGAAAAATAGCTCCGACTCAGGTGCACAAATCAACACGAATTCAGTTGATGCTCAAAGTTATAGTTTGGAAGATCATGAGAGAAGCAACGCTTCGAATTTGGCAATCATATATGAATTTGACAATATGGATAGGGGCGTCAATATTTGACCTGATCCGAAAACCCAACCCGAACCAAAAATTTTGGGTTTGGGTTGACCCGAACCCGAAGCAGGTCGGGTTCAGGTTTTCGACCTGTTTCAAAAAATGGATCGGATTCGGGTTGACCCGAAAACCCGAAAATGACCCGGCTACCCGATCTTTCTGCTCTGCCTGCGTGCATCGAGCCGATGCTACACATGACACGCATCACATCGCCTGGCCGACCTGTCACGCGACTCGTGCAGTCGCTTCTGCCCGCGATCCCGCGAGCTGCTGCCGCGGTCGAGTTTGCCGCACATCGCAGTGTGTCGTTGTTGCCCAATGCCGGCTGCCACTGTCGAACGTCGACTGCCCATGTTTTTGCTGGCTGCTGAAGTCCCTTAAACGCGTGCCGCTGTCGAACCCGAAGCGAGTAGGGTCCAGACCGGGTTCGGGTCTGGAAAACCAACCCGAATGCAAAAATGGGTCGGATTCGGGTTGACCCGAGTAGCATCGAGTCAGTTCCTGAAACCGACCCGTGACCCAAAATTGACACCCCTAAATATGGATGACACAGATGAGCTTTATGTAGTACTCAGCCAGGTAAATAAATTTTTTAATGAATTAGTTGGGTGAAATATGTATACATATTTTGACATTTTTCTAACAGTTAAAAATTTCAGTTTCAATACTAAAATCGCTGCAAGGGCTCTTGAAAGAACTTTTAATTGTTGAGGTACCTTTCTTTTTGTCTCAAAATGATCTTAATTTTTATTGGGAAGTTTTATTGCCTCATTTGAATTTAGTTTTAGATTTTAAAACATTTTAAGTTAATCATATTCTAATATATTATTCTCTTTTACATTATGAGCAAAAATTTTTTGATTTTCCCTGATCTAAGCTTTGTAGATTGTTGTCTTTTCATCTTTCTCCAGATCATGCTATTATGAGTTCTAATCAAAATGTTCAAATTTAATGGAGTCATTTCAAAAGTTAAAGCTTGTGGAGTCAATTCATAGTTTGTTTCTTAGTTACCAATTCAGTTCTGTAATTTTTCTTCTTTCATTGTTTGTTATTGTTGCTTAGAAGTTATTTAAAAAAAAAAAAAAATCTGATGTACGTCTCAATGTTACTTTTTTTAATAAATAAAATGAAATCATAAGTAATGCATAGGCATGTTTGTGACCATTTTGTAGAGAGAGGAAAAAAAAAAAGATAAATTGGCGTATGGAAAGAAAAGTTATTCCAGCATAGAATATTTATTTTCAAGAAACAGGTCAACAATGTATGGCATATTTTAGGCGAGATATAGAGTTTTTTAATCATAAATAAGCGTTCGAAGAACTATTTGATGCTGGGTTCGATTAAAGCTCGTTTGTGATTTTTTAAGTAACTAAACAAACAAACTTGAACAACATTTTTAATACTCGATCATTAAATAAACAAGCTTGAACACTAATGTGTTTGGTTCATTTATGTTCACGAACAACATCATTTAAAGTTCGTGAACAAGCTCGACATTAAGCTTGATAAAAAACTCGATAAAAACTCGAATGAAGAGAAATGCAACATGTAAGCTTCATTTAATAATATATTCATATAGATTAATCATATTTTCATTTTAAATAGACAGATTAATCAAATTTTCATTTTAAATAGACAACTGCTTTATTACAAATTTAGTTTTTTTGATGGAAAGACATTTCACATTTGTCCATATTTGCTACATTATTTGTTTAAGATGCTCATGAAGAAATTTAATGTTTGTTTGTTCAATAGATTGTTTGTTAAATATGTTCACAAACATAGCTAGTTAAAGCTTGTAGTTTAAAGCTCGATAAGCATTAAACGAACTGAACATGAACCGAACATGAACACCCTTAATTTAAACGAACTAAAAATGAACACAAACAATAAAGCTCGAATCAAACACAAACCGAACTTGAACAAGCTAATGATAAACAAATTCAAACATGAACACTCACATACTCGGCTCAGCTCAGTTCGTATTCAGCCTTACTAATAATATGATAATTCTATTATTTCACACATTCTAAAGCTATAGAAAGCCTTTTCCAATATTTGGGAGAATTTAAGACTTTATTTGGGATGGCTTTTGATTGCTACTTTCAAAAAAAAAATACTAAAAAGTTACATAAAAAAGCAGTAAAAAACTGTCCCAAACAAAGCCTAAGTTTAATTCTTTTGTAATTTTTTATTCATAATCTTAAATGAAATAGATATTCATGGCATAATGCTTTGCACTAAGAAATTATATTTTTTTATTAAAAAATTGCTTTAAGAAGAAGTAAGAAAGCCATCCCAAATGAAACCTAAATCTATTAAGCTATGATTATCATTAGAGAAGGGAAGGAAAAAAACATTTTTGGACATTAATCTTAACATTTATATCAACGCTAACAAAATGCTTATAATCTCCAAGTACATCACGTAGGCTCCGTTTGTGACAACTTTTTTTAATGTTTTCTAAAATAGTTTTTTAATACAAAAATTTTTTCAACTGAAATTTTTGTGCTAGAAAATTATTTTAAGAAACAAGAAGAAAGTTATCGTAAATAAAACCGTAGTTTTGTAGTCTCACAGTATGATTTAAGCTATTTCATATAGCTGATTTTTTTAGGGCTTAGCACCCGAGTTTTATTGTATATTTATATCAAATTATATAGACAGTAAAAACATGTTATTGTCACCATCTGAGAAGTATTCCAATCACAAATCTCCTTTATTATGCATCTTTAGAGAACTAATGGATTGTGCTTGATAAATACGAATCTGCCAAAATTTTATTTTTCTCAACACAGTGACCAAGTAGAAAGTAAGTGGGGATGGGAAGAAGATTGCAGTAATTAAATATTAATATATTTTTAAAATTTTAGTATAGCACATAATTTCTATTTCTTGCATATATTTATCATCCCTAAACACTTAACCTCAACAGCCTTAATTCTCTTCTATCACAATAAAAAAAAGAAAAAAAATAAAACCTTCTATCACAAGAAATAGACTTACTTTTTACAAAGACAAAAACAAAAGATCTATCATGGTTCTTTGTGCAATACAGATTTAACCTCCAAATAATTTCTTACAGAAACTATAAGATCGCAAAAACACAAATTTGATTAATCTATAAGATTTAATAGTAGTAAAGGAGCCCATGCATCAATTACTTCTCAGCATTAAATGAATAGAGGCTAAAATATGAAAACATTAGGTAAGACCCCATATTTTTTTTAGATTTTGATGATTACAAACACAAACATAAAAAAGAAAAGCAAACAACAGAAGATGAAGCTTACCAAACAAACTGATCAAAGTAGAATTGTATTAATAGGATATAATACATGTCATCATATGGGACAGTATAATTATCAAAGTTTTAAATCTCTACAAATTTTGTTCCTTTCAAGTTTCCTAGTTTTGTATCCCTTAGCACCTTTGCCCCAACAGTAGTTGTTGCTTGAAAGAAAGCCCTTCATAAGCAGTTCCAATTCGGGGTCAGCTCGAAACCCTTTTGACTTCATTTCATCATAAAATTCCTTAGCCTTCGGAATCCATCCATCCGCCGCCAATCCTTTAATCATTGTAATGTAATGCACGGCGTTAGGAATAACATCATATCTACTCATTTCACTCCACATCTTCAGTGCACTTTCTGATTTGCCCAATCTAAAAAAATTATTAAAAATTAGGAGGAAAGTGCTTTGATTTGGCGTATTACCATCCTCTTTCATTTGTTCAACCAGCTTGATTAATCCCGGGAAATCCTCTATCTTGATAAATGCATGGTAAGTATCCATAGACGGACGAACACCTCCTAAAATCATCATCTGCATTATCTCTTGTGCTTCATCGAGTCTATGTGCTTCACAAAGTGGAAGTACCATACAATTATAAGTTTCCAAATTTGGTTGCAAACCTGTCTCCATGATTTTGTTAAACATGCTATATGCTTCTTTCATGCAATTTTCTCTTGTCAAGATATAAATTAGATAGTTGCAAACCTTAAGGTTTGGAAACCAACCTCTCTTCTTCATCTCATCATAAAACCTTAGAGAATCAAAGAGATTTCCATGTTTTGCCAAGCAACCAATCATATAAGTGTAGGAAGTACTATCTGGTATGATGCAATATTTTGCCATTTCTTTCCAAACTCTTTTTGCTTCAATCAAATCGACAAGAATGTTACACCAGCCATCTAAAATAATGTTGAATCCAGTAGTTTCAAGAGGAAAAAAATTTTGTTTCAAAAGAAGAAGCTCTTCCGCTTCCTCAACATTCTTGTTTTTGCAAAGAACACGAAGAAGAGCATAAAATACATCCAAATCTGCTTTTACATTGAATTTCTCCAAAGCATGGAATGTTTTAATTGCTTTCCCAGTCTCATTTGCAGATACATACCTAATTTTCAAGCAAGAAGTGTAATCTTATTAGATATGATTAAAACGTTCAATTTATAGTGTATTATTGTGCAACTTATAACATCGATAAATTTTACATGCCTTATATGGGGCATAGAAATTTGCATTTAAGATTTCCCGCCACAACTTCCCTTTTGGTAGAACTGCATCGTCAACAAATTTGAAATGGTCCTTATAAGGTGAATGATAGAGATTTCAAGTTTATATATCTCACTTAAAATTTTCAAGACAAACATAGATATTAAATAATATGCTTTTACAATATGTCATAATATTAGTGAATTCGCTCTCCCTTCTTTAACAAAGATTCTAAGTGTAAAAAACTTTAATATAGAACTATTTAAAACCATTAAAAGCAATAATAGAATGTGAATTTTTTCCAAGAAAAATTTATAATAGCATTTGAATTTAAAGTGGTTAAAATTTCAGCTCTTCATATGATGAACAGAGAAAAGTCTATCATGACTTGCATTTGGGGCTCCTAATTGCATAGCGGCTGAAGTAGGATTTAAGCAAGATTCAACTTAAAGTTGTCAAGCAGAATTTTGGATATTTTAAATCCTGTTATTTTAATGAATCTCATTGCAACGTCACTATTGATAATATATAGAATTTAGTAGGGGGATTTACATACATACCACTTTATATTATGCTATTTACATAACAAACACTAAAGACTTTAATATTTCATGTCTATCATCCATAGACAACTTTAATATCAAATATGTCACTCATAAATTACATACGTATCGGTCATACCACCCTATAAACTTTAATATTTCATTCATTGCACCAATATTTAATCTATGAGTGGTAGACATGGAATCTCACCATTCACGGGAACGGGATCTAAAAGGTCTAAGTACATCTCTCTCACACAAGCCTTAAATCCTAAAACAAATAGACAAATGGTTTATCTGAATTTAAAAGAGTAAACAATTTTCATGTTAAGAAGTCTCAAGATTTTAATCCTCTAAAGATTAAGTAAATTCAAATTATAGTCAAATGATATAATCCAGTAGTGTTAAGAATGATATAAATCGATATCTCGAGATATGAAACACTCTTTCATCTTGCAATCACAAAATTTATAAATAGCTAAATTCAAAATCCCGATCATAAACACTCAAAAGAATTGTAAGCACGCACCTTTCCATCATAATAATCAATGCCCGACGAGTAAGCAGCGACTTGTAATGCATTCTCCGCAAAACCATCCAAGCCAGATCGAACCTTCTTTGCTTACCCAACACCCAGATCATTAAATGCCATGCCCATGGCGATCCAAGAACACAATTGCTAGCCCACCTGAAAGCCAGGAAGGCAGATTCCCAATCGTGCCTGAGCTCCCAAAGCACTGAACAAATCAGACCCATCGTGGGTTTGGTTATATGTGAGGATCTCATGAAGCCCAACGCCTCCTCTTGCGTCGAGAAGTTTGATTTCGCTTGTGAGAGGTGTTGAATGATGATGGGAAGGTCTGAGCTGAGGAAATTGGAGATGGGTTTGGAGGAATCGGAGTCAAAATCACTATCCTCGGCTTCAGGAGAGGGGAAATGGAAAGAGAGGGATTTATAGAAATGGGCATTGCAGAATCGGGAGAGAGATGGGGAGGAGAGAAAAGAATGGTGGGAGGCGAAGGCGGAGGCGGTAAGAGGGGAAGTATAGTGGGCTACAAAGAGGCGAAAGAGAGCAGCTCGATAGATTCGGCACCGGGCAACGATCTGCATTATGGTTTTCAAATATAGGTAACACAATATAATAATGAAAATAAGGTCAACATAAACATGTAGGAATTCCTTTCAAAATTTATATATATATCCACCCAATCAACTATGATTCTAAATGCATATTTAACTTGAAAATTTTTGAAATTATATTTAAGAACATCCTAACTTCATTTGTACTTTAGCACAACTGAAAACCTCCAAAAATTAATTAGAGAAAAAAATGATCTTTAGATCTTGCATTCTCATAATCAAATTGAGCATCTTAACGAGACAAATCCTACAAGCTTAAGAATGCTTAATTATGACATATTGAAGTTATTAAAAATTAAAAAAATATCTTTTGGTCAAGGGGATTACTCTTAATCATTTAATTGCGAGTTTTGAATTTTTTTTTATTTGTGTAGAATAATGTTTTTAATAACTATAGATAGACCATCACTCTCTATATAAACTTAGTCAACTTTTATTTTATCAAAACATAATTATAAAATCATAATTAAATGTTTGATTATAAAATCATACCAAAAAAATTCAGATCCCCAAACCCTATATCTACACTTGATCTACCCAACATGATTCTTATCTTTTTCTAAAATATTAAGAGAATGAAGTAAGATCAACAAGTTCATTATACTCTCTCATACACCCTCCACATATATAAATATCCAATTTAAAAACTTAAAAGCAATATAAATATAAAAAAAGAGTTGCTAAAAGAAAACATTAAGGCTTTCAAAATAAGTAAAACTTAAGCAAAATAGGAATTTACCGAATTTCTAATGTGCATACCTTATTTCATAACTAGCACTTATACTTCTTAACCACGCCACCATTTTCACAGAAGTTTTTGGATGTCGTACAGAATCATTCTTTTCATCTTAATTAGTCAATTCAATTCGTTTTGAATGACTAAAATTGAATTAAAAATTTATTATTTTGTAAATCATTAACCCCTAAACAAACAACTGTCGGCAAAACCACCACGATCTCGCACAATTGTCGGACTCCTCACCACAAAAGTCCCTTCCGCTCTCTATCTCGGAGACTCACGCACTCAGAATAAAAAAAAAGGGAAGGAACGCAGAGAGAAGAAACCGAAGCCCCATACCTGCGCTCTCGTCATCTATCCCTTGATCTCTTTGCCTGAAATCGCACGAAGCTGTAGGATCCTACGACTGCAGTCCGACTCCAAAGCTCTCGATCTCCTACACCCGACGCCGACTCCAACCAACACCATCCGCCATCTCAAGCCGCACAGCCGCCCGTTCGGGCCAAACTCACTCTGCCCTATGATTTGATCCGGTTGAGTAGAGCCAAAAGGGCAAGTGTCATCCCCTAACCTCGCCTCACAAGGAGAGGCGCTGAAAAGCTGCCGAATTTTCGAGGGGAATTAAAATAAAAAAAATAATTAAGTTAAATTACTTAATTAACAGATTGTGGGCAACAAGGATCGTCAAAGACATTAACGGGATTGATTCACTCTCATGAACACCTCACCGTTGATTTGAACCAACCGAGTCGAGCCAAAAGGGTAAGTGCCCTTCCTAACCTCCCTTCGCGGGGAGGGGAAATTGGGAGCCAGCCAAAATTTAAAAAAAAAAAAAAAAGAAACTCCCATAAATAAAAAAGAAACTCCCATGAATGTCAAACAAAATTCTATCATTTCAAATAATTAAGTAAAATTTAATTAATTTAAAATTAATTAAATCATATAATTCATGTGGAGGGAGGTTCGATTTTGCAAATAATAATTCCACTTATATCAAACTCACGAAATTGTGAAAATTTAAAAATCTTCAGTATGGAAGAAGAATTCAGCAATCATTCTTTTTCTTTTGTGGAAACTGATCACACGAATGACTTTGAGTATGTAGAGCCTGCCAATGACTTTGCATTAAAGATTGAGGATTGTTGTGATGAAATTTTGAAGCATGAAATTAGCTTGATTTTATGTGTTTCTTATGTGTGTTTATCTAAAGGTTGCATTTTGTTTTAAAATAGTGAATCTTACAATTTTTTGAATACATTGTACACTTTATTTTTCTCCATAAATTATGTGAGCAACATGAGTGACAAATTACATAGTTTATATTCTATTAAATTCTACTCACGTATATGTTTTATAATGATTTTTAAGAAATGCCACCAGACACCAGAGCACATATTAGAAATACATGATGCAAAGAACAAACTGAAGTTGAAATTGATGTTTCAACAAATACCATTGAAATTTATGTTGTAGGTCTGTCTCTTATTTAAGATATTATCAAAACATTATATGCTTATTTTACGTTATCATTTATCTTACTTACAAGATTTTAATTTTAAGATATTTTTTCATAGCAGGTAGAAGTAATGAGGAGAAAATCGAAAAAGAGGTCCAACCTATATGTGTAGTATTTGGGGATATCATGCCACCCAACCTAGTGAAGAATGACTAGTTATTAATTTTAATAAATATGATCAACCTATTAGACAAAACAAATCATTATTTGTCGAATTTTTAGGAACTATTGCTCATAATGGGAAATATACACCAATTGATATCAGAAGTTGGGATAAAGTGTCAAAGTCATTAAAAAAAATATGTTAAAAGTTGTTTAAGTATTTATCTTCATAATATGCATACTTATTTTGTTTGATTTTAGTTACATACATAAAATAACAAATTTCTTTGGATATAACAAAATATATTTTATTTGTATAGGAGAAATTTGAGATTTCCCATGGTTGTGATGTATGGGTTCTTCAATCAATTGTGAAGAAATGGAGGAATTGGAAAGCAAACATTAAATTTAGATATTATGACTAAAAAATATCTACATAATTATAACTATGTAATGTGCTAAAAAGGATACCCAAATATCAATGGAAAAATCTTCTATCCTATTGGAATTTAGAAGAACAAAAGGTATATTATCATAACTTTTAAATTTTAAAATGTTATTCATGTTATATTTTTTTTTATTAATTTAAATTTGTGTTTGGTGTATAAGTGAACGAAATAAAAAGAGTAGGTCATAAAAGAGTTTAATGCACATAACATGAAAAAGGAGTTTCGATCAAATGCATGAAGATCAAGTAAATATTATATGTATATACGTGTTTGTGTGTTGTACTTAAATTTTGAAGTCAAATATTCTTTTATTTTAATTAACTTTTATATTATTTATTTAGTTATTTAGGAGAAAAGTATAGGTTACTCACCAACGAGAGTTGAAATGTTTGAAAAGTGTTACACAAAAGAAGGAATTGCTAATAGTATTGAGGTTTGTAAATCTTTGATAAGTATTGATAATAAACTATTTTATAAATTAATTATAAAGTATACACAAAATTACGTGAAAGTTAATTAATTCATTATATGTAGGAAAAAATGAAGGAAATAAGAAGTCAAACATCTCAAAAAGAAGATCTTGAAAAAGATGATATTTTCTCAAAATTTCTTGGAAATGACAATGTCGGAAGAGTTCGCATGTATGTATTTGGTGTAACTCCTTATGTTGTATGGGGAGAAATCCCAAATCAAAGTAGCGCTTATCGATTAATAGAATATTACAATGAAGCTTTCACAAAAATGTAAAAATAAGTTGAAGAACATGATGAGGTAATTGCTAAAATGAAGTTTGATATGTAAAGTACACAGCAAGTTACTAATAACACCTCATTAAGAGCTACTCAATATTCTCAAAATGGTGATGTACATGCTTTCAATAATAGTACTATTATTTAAGTAAGCAAACTATTTTCTTATGAACTTGTGCAGCCATATTTGAATCTTTCATATGTTGTTACAATTTTTTGTTAGATCTTATAAACTTCATATATACTAAAGTTGCAGTTAAAAGTGTTCTTGATTCTATTAAAATTGTGGCAATCGGATATATTCAAAGTTTTGATCCTACATATAGGGTTGGCCACTATCAATTAGGTCCATATTTGTGTTTAATTCATATAAACATTCCTGTGAATTGGGAAGAACACTTGATTAGACCATATACTTTAACAACAATTGGACAAGCAATTGAAACTTATGTTGCATGGCCTCAAGCTTTAGTAAGTATTTTTTAATTTTAAAATTGTTTATTAAATAATCAAATTACTCATATTTGTATAATTAACTTAATTCAGGTTCTTCGTGAAGAAGATTAATATACAACAAGAAATATTGTTGAAGAGTCTACTTGGATTTGAACAGTCATACATATACTATAAAATTTTTTTATATGTTGATAGAATTTGGTTATACAGTTACACTTTCTTCATTAGCTTTCATCTTTTTTTTTGCTTGTTGTATGCTTTATGGAACACTATTCTGCTATTTCTTTTTTAACTAGGAAACAAGATTGTTTTAGTAATATAATACTGAGATGGTTCTTTTGGTATGCTAATAAAGTGAGTGCTGTTAAGTACCATTTTGTCAATGGAGGTGAAATGGAACTCTTGCTTTTGGATGGATGAATTTGGCAACCAGAGGAGCATATATTTTCCATTTAAGTTACTTTAGTGTTTTAGATGCATTTTTGATGTTTTTGTCCATATTGAGTACTCTCTTGTTAGCAGTACTTTGCAGTTTCCTTATTCATTTTGGTAAGTTATGATTATGTTGATAATTAAAATAGACTTTACTTCAGTTTTTTGCTCACTTTTTGGTTTCAATGTTCTTTAAGCTCTTATTATTTCCTAAGGTTGTTACTGCTTTCATATTCTTGTAATTTCTATGTTCAGTCAATGAAAATGGGATTCAACGATAGTAGATAATTTCTACACTGCATGCATCTTCATGTTTAACTCATGCTCTGTTTCACAGGAAAAAAAAAATCTTCATATTTAATATCAAGTTTTATGTTTGTTGGCTTGTGTACATTTATGGGTTAATGGAATTGCAGAAGTCACTGTTTATGGCTCTGCTAAGTGACAGTTTGTACTAAATTTACTCAGATTTCTCAGGGAAAATTTACTCTTCGTTGACAGTAGAAACTGCCCCAATTTCAAAAAATTATTCCCTGAATATGTAGAGAAGCATAGTCAGCTTCGTGCATTGGAACAGTCCGTATCAGAGCAACCAACTCAGAATGTGCAAACGAATCCTACTCCTTCGACCACATATGAAGCAGCCAAAAGACCAGAAAATGCAATCTAAACTAATTCCATAATCCTCATATAATTGTTGCTTAATTGCAACAAAATGTTTGCCTCTACATTAGATAAAATAATACATTTTTGTTTGCCCGATCACGTCGTAGGGTCAAGGGGCAGTACCCTTGTGGAGGTTTCAGAGGGCAACGCCAAGGGGTGTCAATTCGGGTCAACGGGTTGAATTCGGGTCGAACCCGGAACTGACCCGCACTGTTCGGGTCAACTCGAACCCGACCCGTTTTTAAAAATGGGTTAGGTTTATGGACCCGAACCCGACCCGATTCGGGTCCGGGTCAACCCGACCCGACACGAATGACCCGAAGTTGACCTAAAATTGCTAGTTTTCGGGTCAAAATCAGGTCAATCTTCGATTTTCGGGTCAAAATCGGGTCAATCTCAGGTTTTTGAGTCAAATATGAGTTTTCGTGTCAATTTCGGATCATTTTCGTGTTGCTGAGTCAACCCGAACCCGACCCGATTTTAAAACGGGTTGATTTGTTGAACCCGAACCTGACCCGTTTCGGGTTCGGATCGTGTTTTGGGTCGTGTCAAAAATTAACACCCCTAGCAGCGCCCCTGGAACAAATTTTGGTTGTATGGATATTAAAACTTTTCGGAGAACAATTGCCTAAAAACCCTTTAATAAAGACTAAAAAATTAATGGAGATGAACAAATTATAAGCAAGTTATACAAATTACCTAAAAATTCATATAATAAAGAATTTTTTAATTTTTTTAGGGGGGTCTTCTTCGAGAAATTGAACCGGACTCTATTGCTTATTCTATTTAAACATAATTTATATATTTGCTTAGTTGAATGAATTGAATTCACTTGAAAAATTTTCAATCTTTTTTCTTTAGCTTGACTGCAATTTGTGTATTTACAGTTTAATTTCTGCTTTTGTTATTCTTCTTCTTTTTTTCCCTTTAAAAATGTGATTTAAATTGCTACGAAGTTTTATAATATTATTTAAAATTTTTATGTGATCCATCATTTTGGCTTTTTATGTTATTTCGTCTTATTCTTTTTTTTTTTCTATTACATTTTATAAAAAAAACAACTCATTAAAGCCATGGGATATGATTATATTGGCTCTACTTATTATTTGTTGTTAAATATGCTTCTACTATTGCATAGAAATTTT